TCTCAGACTGGCTGACACTTAGGGAAAATAGAAAGAACGTATGTTGAAATATTGGGGTTGGGTTCCCCCAATACATGCCCAGCTAATTTTTTGTATTTTTCGTAGACACAGGGTTTCACTATGTTGGCCAGGCTGGTCTCGAATTCCTGACCTCAGGTGATCCACCCACCTCAGCCTCCCAAAATGCTGGGATTACAGGCATTAGCCACTGTGCCCAGCCACTTCAAGATGGTTTTAATGGTTAGAAATATCAGCCAATTGAATTTTCAGAGACATATGCTACCTAATTTTGTATTCAATACTTAAGTCATTAAACTCCAGTGGTCTGTATACCTGTTTGGTCTCTAAGACAGTTTGGCCTCTAAGTCTGATAGAACTTTCTGTGATGATGGAAATGTTCTACATTTATGCACTTTTATGTGGTGGCCACTATTCACATGTGGCTACTGAGCACTTGAAACGTGGCTACTGAGCACTTTAAACATGGCTAGTTCACTAAGGAACTCAATTAGAAATATAATTTTAATTTTAATTAATTTAAATGGCCACAGGTAGCCAGCTGGCGCTACCATATTAGACAGCACAGCTCTGAGGCATCTTGTTCTCTTAAGGACACACATAATTCAATGAAGAGACCCAAGTTTAATACAGACGTGGGATATGCAGTCTTCAGAATTCAAACATGCCAATTAATTTCTGTTCCTCTTTTTCAAGTAGGGGGTTTCAAGCACAAAGGCTTTTGCCTGGTCTTGGGCAGAATTTTTCTCCCCAAAATTTTACTGAAATTTGTGCTCTTTTATAGTCTGTTCCTTTTAACTCATAAAATTAATAATGGAAGACAGAGGTTTTTGGATGCAATTGCTTTAAAAAAAAAATCAGGTTCAGGCCAGGCACAGTGGCTCACACTTGTAATCCTAGCACTTTGGGAGACTGAGGTGGGCAGATCTTCTGAGATCAGGAGTTTGAGACCAACCTGGCCAGCATGGTGAAACCCTGTCTCTACTAAAAATACAAAAATTAGCCGGGCATGGTGGTGCACACCTGTAATCCCAGCTACTAGGGGCTGAGGTAGGAAAATCGCTTGAACCTGGGAGGTGGAGGTTGCGGTGAGCTAAGATTGCACCACTGCACTCCAGCCTGGGTGACAGAGTGAGACTCCATCTCAAAAATAAATAAATAAATAAATAAATAAATAAATAAATAAATAAAATAACATAAAATCAGGTTTACTGAGATATAATTTAAATATGGTGAAACTGTAGCTATACAGTTGTTTATGAGTTTTGAAAAAAATATTCATTTTGTAACTACTATTACAATCAAGATAATATTTTTATTACCCCAAGAAGTTTCCTCATGGACACAGTTTTTTTCAAGTCACTCCTGGTTAATGTGTCATTAGGGTAATAAAACAATGTTAATTCTTGAATTGGATTTAGGCTGTTTAAATTTTGCTCAATGGATTGTACCTCAGGGGTGGGAGAATTTACTCTGGCAACTTAGTAAAGGTTGGTGCTGCCAAGTGAAAGCAGACTGTTGGTGAATATAATTTATTGGGGTTGAAAAGGATACATCAGCCAGATTGATGCATGAATGCTAACCAAGGGTTGATTTAGCAAGATCTTCTACTAAGGAAATAATATGTACAGTGCTAATCACATTTTATTTTTCATAATTGAGTTAAATATTTAAAGTGATTAGAATAGTCACTGCCACTTAATACTACTTCAGAATTAGCTGCTTTTCTTCATATTGGTGTAATTCACAATTCGCTTCCAAGCTTCACCTACCTTTTGGCTGGTCAAAATGAGTTGTTAAAGAGTCCTACTGGTGGGATTATGTCAGATTTCTCCAACAATGTTATCATGATTGTTATTTTACATATTCTCCTAGGGATTTGTCACTATTTCATACTGTGTTGTTTTGTGGGGAAGTGGCATTCCAGAGGTTCTTAAGAGCTTTTCCAGCTTCCAGAGTTGCAATTGTAAGTTCAGATAACATGCCCAGGGGCAGGAGAAATCACCATAGAAACTTTTTTGGTTCTCTGTATCTCCCATTAATGTTTCATAACCTTCCACCTTGATACTTTCCTCTCCACATACCCTGGTGTTCAAAATAGCCCTTCTTATTAGATTGGGTTTTCCTAATTAAAAGTCACCACTGATGTTATATCCCAAAGTTTCTGGAATTCCTGAACATTGTCCTTTGTCTAAACTGTTTTAACTTGAGTGCAGAGTGCCTCCAGACACAGGTTGGAACAGATCTGGAGGGAAGAACACTGGGGCTGTTTGTCCTGTCGTATGAGAGGATCTGGTTTTAGAGCAAAGTTCTTTAAGCTTGGAGAATGAATCAAAGGTGTGGAAGTGCCCTGTTTCCGTATGTTCTAAGAGAAATGTGCTCTTAACGTTTATAAGCTTTTTGTCTAGGCATTCACCTTTGGCTTGGTTCCTAGCACTGTTAAATTACATGAGTTGAGGGTTTGCCAAAACTATTGCTAAATTTGTAGCTTCTGTATCTGCTAAAATTGGACTATTTTTGATGTTTCATTTAACCTGTTTTGTAATCTTATTAATTTTCTAGTGAGCCCATTGTGCTGTTGGAATTCTGATATCCCCAAATCTAATGAGCCATGACCATACACTTTAGCTCCATTCCCACTGGCTTCTCAAATTCTTTTTCATTTTTCCAATTCTCTAGCACTTTCTCTTATAGGTGATTCTGCCTTAATTTAAAATTAAATGAAAACTTCAACCCCTTGGTCTCACCAGCTGCTAGCATTTTAAGTGCTCAAGAGCCACCTGTGGCTAGTGGGGGCTCGGTTGGAGAGCTGGATATAGAACATTTCCCTAACAGCAGAACGTTGTATGGGACAGCACTGCTCAATGTATCACTCTCTGATGATCACACCCACTTTACAGATACTAGGATGGTCTAACTATGTACACTTTCTTCCAAATGATGTCGAAGGCTTTCCCTCAGTTCGTATCTTTTAACAAATATTTTAGAGTCTTTATAGATCGATCTCTCACACATCTCTGCAACAAAAATATATGTATTCATTTAATTCTTGTTTTAATTGACAAAAATTGAATCTATGGTATACAATATGATGTTTTGATTTCTATATATATGTGTACATTGTTTAATGGCTAAATCAAGCTAATTAATATATGCATTACCTTACATATTTTTTGTGTTTGGTGAGAACCCTTAAAATTATTCACTTAGCAATATTCAAGTACACAGTACATTGTGATTAGCTAGAGTCACCATGTTGTACAGTACATATCTTGAATTTATTCCTCCTGTCTAACTGAAATTTTGTATGCATTGATGTTTGTTTTTACATTCAACTCATTAAAAACATAATTATGTCACAGAGGTAGGAGGTTTTGAAAAAACCAAAAAACCAAACAAAAAAATATAATTAGGTTTGTTTGGCAATCTAGCAATGCTTAGTGTGCAATGCTTTTTACAGCTGCTGCTAAAAGCAGAGCAAAACCACAGAAACCTATGTGCTGCCAAAACCTATGTATTTGGTCATATTTATTTTGATATGTGTTTTTTTGTGTGCCTAACCTTTTCTCTAACTTTTTTTTGTAAAGAATGCTGGAGTATTCCCAAATAGTTGACAAATTCCCTTGTTTCCTGTTCTGTCTAGATTTCAGTGTTGGCCACTAGGTGGGGATAGGATCCTGTTTCTCTAGCCTTAACATGATTTTTGAATTTCGATGCTTTGCAATGGATAATCTGGCTTTTTCCTCGAAAGTTTTAAAACATTTCTTTTGTGAATTCAAAACAACAGGTTTTAATTCTGTGTAGTTACCCAATAAAAAGGAATAAGAAACAAGTGCTAAATTATTTACTTACAGTGTTTCTGTATGGAAATCCTTACCCCCAAGGCGGCAGGCTTCACAGCTTGACTCAATGGTGAGAAGTCTGAGTTGACTCACAGCTTTCTGACTGTACTCTGATGGTACCACGTTAGGATAAATTCTTGGCCAAACAGAAAATCAGGGGAGACTTCCTTCTCCTTGTCAAACTCTAAATTAATCTACTCGTTCTTTTCATAAAGCAAAAGGTGAAATGTTGAGGACTCTGAGTCAGTTATCAATCGAAATGACTTTTAAACTAAGTCCCTTTTAATTATGACTCAAGACAATATTAAATTAATCACTGGGTATTATAAACACTGGCTTCTCAGTCCTCTGCAGATGAGGTTTGCTTGTTTGTGTCTTTCTTTCTTAAAATCCCAAATAGTGAAGTCTCTCTTAAGCAATGGAGGCTCATTCACAGTCAAACTCTTTGCGTGTAAAATTCTTTGGGTACAAAGTAGATGGCCTTCCTCTTGTTTTTCTTTTTCTTGAGACAGGATCTCACTCTGTTGCCCAGGCTGGAGTGCAGTGGCATTATCATGGCTCACTGAAGCCTTTACCTCCCGGGCTCAAGTGATCCTCTTGCCTCAGCTTCCTGAGTACCTGGGACTACATTTATTTTTTATTTTTTAATTTTTTTGTAGAGACAGGGTTTTGCCATGTTGCCCATGCTAGTCAAGCTATCTGCCCTCCTTGGCCTCCCAAAGTGCTGGGATTATAGGCATGAGCCACCAGGCCCAGCCTGCTTTCTTCTGTTTACCAAGATGTTTGACTGTGGATATGTAAAAGGACAACTTCCCTTTCTCATGTGGGGCACTGAGAGAGGGGCAGCCTCTATTTCCTACAAGAAATATAGAATAGAAAATGTGTAATTTCTCATGGTGTTCTGCAAAAATTAAAAATTTCACAGAAGACTCATCTGCACCCCTGGTTTGTAATTTTAGCTTTCCAAAACTTGCCTATATGCTAATATGATTCATAAAACATTTGTAATAATTTCAGAATGAGAATTTTAAAATGAATTTAGTTCTATATTTTCTATAGTAACCAATATTTCCAGAAAAGTAGGATTTAAGAGTATCTTCTGTAGCAATATATGCCTTTCTTTGTCTTTTCTTTTTTTTTCCGAGACAGAGTCTCGCTCTGTTGCCCAGGCTGGAGTGCAGTGGCGTGATTTCGGCTCACTGCACCATTCAATCGGCTGAAGGCCTGGCTGGAACAAAAAGGGAGAAAAAAGGCGAATTCACTCTCTCTCTGTTTTGGAGTAGGGAGTCCTATATTCCCCTCCCCTTGGACATCAGATCTCCAGGTTCTCTGGCCTTTGCACTCAGGGACTTGCACCAGTAGCCCCCCATGTTTTTGCTCTTGGACTCAGAGTTACTCCACCAGCTCCCCCAGTTCTCAGCCCTTCAGACTTGGACTGAGCCGTGCTACTGGCTCCCCTGTCTCAGCAGCTTGCAGATGGCCTAACGTGGGACTCCTCAGCCCCCATAGTTGAGGGAGTGAATCCCCAGCATAAATCCCCTCTCATCTGTCTACCTATATATATCCAATAAATTCTGTTTCTCTGAAGAAGTCTGACTAATAAAAGCCCCCAAAGGCCCTAGTGCTGGTCTGTTACTAGCTTCCTGGTAGACAATATTTTACATATGGCATCCCAGCTCCTTGTGGGAAGAATTACATGTGTCCTGTGTGGTTCCAGGGGCACAGGATCCTTGGAAGCCTGCGCCTGGTTTCTCCTGGGCTTTGCCCCGTGTGCCTTTCCCTGTGCTGAGTTTACTTTGCATCCTTTTACTATAATAAATCAGAGCCCTGAGTAGGACTGCATGAGGAGCCCTGTGAGTCCTCCGAGGGCGTCATCTCACCTGGGGTGGCTCTGAAGGCCCCCAACATAGCTCTTCCTTTGGCATTGGTATCTGCTAATATGTAAAAATCCCCCAAAACCAACTTGTCATCATAATTTATGAACATATTTCATCAAAATTTCCTGTAGTCACATCCCAGAAGGTCAGTTAAGAAAGAAAAACTCTTTAAGTTTGGTTAAGGCTTTGCCATTTTTGAAAATTCATATTAATCTAATAATATTGTAGCAACTACAAGTTTTCCTGATTGCTATTTTTTTTTGCTGGGGGGATGGAGTTTTGCTCTTGTTGCCCAGGCCAGAGTGCAATGGCACAGTCTCGGCTCGCTGCAATCTCAACCTCCTGGGTTCAAGCGATTCTCCTGCCTCAGCCTCCCAAGCAGCTGGGATTACAGGCACCCGCCACCACGCCCAGTTAATTTTTGTATTTTTGGTAGAGACAGGATTTCACCATGTTGGTCAGGCTGGTCTTGAACTCCGTACCTCAGGTGATCTGCCCGCCTCGGCCTCCCAAAGTGCTGGGATTACAGGCATGAGCCACCGTGCCTGGCCTCCTGATTACCATTACATAAAATTTGGACTTACTGGCACATCATACCATGAAATGACTGGAGAAAACATGACTTCTCTCTTGGTATTAAACATCAATTAAGATGAGTTACAAAAATCATAGTAAACTGTATTCTAAAAGCAAGCTTATGCCTGAAAAATCTGGTATACACATAGTTTTTGAAACTAAGGATGTATTTTCACTGTGTAACCTGCAAGAGAAGGAGTTGGGGTGATCTGGTGAACATAGAGTTATGGGATAAGTGTGTATCTATAACTTAGTACAAATAATATACAAAGAGAACGATAATGTGTTATGTGGCTGCGCATGGCGGCTCACTTCTGCAATCCCAGCATTTTGGGAGGCTGAGGTGGGTGGGTTACTTGAGGTCAGGAGTCCAAGATCAGCCTGGCCAAGATGGTAAAACCTCATCTCTACTAAAAACACAAAAAATTAGCTCTCAGCTACTCTAGAGACTGAGATGGGAAGATCGCTTGAATCCTGGAGGCAGAGGTTGCAGTGAGCTGAGATCATGCCACTGCATTTCAGCCTGGGTGATAGAGTGAGACTCCATCTCTAAATAAATAAAATAAAATAATATAATATATTATGCTATTCTACCTGTTATTTAAAATTGGGATCTTATGTTGATTTCTACAGTTGGGAAGCATATTCCTAATAACTGACCTGCATTATCAGTTTTGTATTGTGTTCAGTGGCAAAGCCAGGCTTGGTGTCTGTTCCATCTGGGAACGCCAGGAGTAATGGTCCCACTCCTTGCTGCTGAGGGTACAGCATGAATTTGGGCAGCACCATGAAATAAAGCAAATGTGAGGAGATCCTCTATCAGTTGCACTCCTATTTAATAAGGAGACTTGATCATTATCAAGAAGTTAATTTCTCCATGCCGGCGTGAAACCATACTGACTCATCCTGGGGCTCTTCACTGGACCCAGTGATCACCAAATCCTTCAAGCATAAAATGGCCATGTGACTATCTCCTTCCTCTCAGGATGAAAGGGGCAGACAATAACATTGATTTATGTTCCTCAGGAAAGGACACGCTATAAACTAGAGAACATGGGAAAGAGGAAGTACATGAGTTAAAATGCAGGCACACAGTGGCATGTGCCTGTGGTGCCAGCTACTGGGGAGGCTGAGTGGGAGCATTGTTTGAGCCCAGGAGGTGGAGGCTACGGTGAGCTGAGATGGTACCACTGCACTCCAGCCTGGTTAACAGAGTGAGACCCTGTCTCTCTCTTTCTCTTTCTCTCTCTCTCTCACACACACACATACACACACACACACACACACACAGAGAAAATAAAGGAGAAAAATAAATTGTTCTTAAACATAAAATTTAAAGTGGGGTTCTTTGTATCACCACATTCTTTTTTGAGACGGTGTTTTGCTCTTGTTGCCCAGGCTGGACTGCAATGGTGCAATCTTGGCTCACTGCAACCTCCTCCTCCCAGGTTCAAGTGATTCTCCTCCCTCAGCCCCCCGAGTATCTGGGATTACAGGTGTGTGCCACCATGCCCAGCTAATTTTTGTATTTTTAGTAGAGACGGGGTTTCACCATGTTGGCCAGGCTGGTCTCGAACTCCTGACCTCAGGTGATCCACCCGCCTCAGCCTCCCAAAGTGCTGGGATTACAGGCATGAGCCACCGCGCCCAGCTGACTCTAAAATTTCATTCAGCTGTGCACCCGGCTTCACCACATTTTTATAAGAAGAAGAAATAAAATAATAATTACTAATTAAATAATTAAATATTATTTCCTTCTCCTTATATGTTTGAAAACATCAAAGATTTTCTCCAAAATTATCAAAGCTATAAAAGGGTCAATATAATATCACCTGGTAACAAATGAATTCCTCTATGATGCAAAGAATCAATGCAAAATTATGAAGAAATATCATCCATTCACAAAAGTAACTGCAAATAACAAATCCCAACTTCCGTAATGTGTTTCCTCGTTAAGAGGAAGGTGATTGTGACGTCCTAATTTTCGTTTTCTTCACTTACCCCCACGCTCTGCAGTAGGCAGGGGCTTTCTGGGTCCTGCTGGTGCCTGAGAATTCTCTCACTTCTTCCCGGCAGCTCCAGCATCTTCCTTCCCCAGCCACAGAGGCATCCCTTCTGATGTATTCTGGTTGGTTGAGCCCAATCAGCCTGTTTCATCTCCAGCCTTTCTCCCTGGACAGGGGTGGGGAAAGGAGTGCTGGATTCGGAGCTCCTCCTTCCCTGCACCGCCTCATTTTCTCCTCCGGGTCTGGCGCACAGTGGCCATTGCCGATGCACCCTGAAGACTGAAGGAGCCAGGGCAGTGCCAGGATCCTGCGAGCCACGGCCCTGGCTGCCCTGCTGAGCCTCCCGGAACCCAGGTCATCAGGGGTGAGTGCTCAGGTGGGCGAGGGAGAGTGGGGGCTCTGGGCGCTTCTGGAGTCCACAGATGCTGTTTTCTTTCCTGTTTCTTTTCTCTCTTCTTTACTGTTTTGCGTGCGCCTCCCTTTTGCTTTCTCTCATTCTAACAACAGTATAACCAACGTTTACTGAACGCCTCCTGAGTGCCAAACCTCATGTCCTTCCTCACAACACGATTTTCAGAAAGGCTTTCATTAATGCAATTTTAGAAATGAAAAGACTGAGACTCAAAGAGATTCATAAATGTCTCCTTTCCCCCATGTCCTCGCGCTGAAGAGAGAGGAGCTGGAGCTTGGCAACCTCCTCTGGAGATTCTCTTGTAAATTGTAGAGGTCAGCTTCCTCAAATAGGAGTCTGCAATGTGGGTTTTTTTTTTTTTCTTCCTTCCTTCCTTCCTTCCTTCCTCCTCCTTCCCTCCTTCTCCCTTCTTCTTCCTCTTTCTCCTCTTCTTCCTTCTTCCCTTCTCCTTCTCCCCCTCCCCCTCCCCCTCCCCCTCCCCCTCCCTCTTCTTCTTCTTCTTCTTCTTCTTCTTCTTCTTCTTCTTCTTCTTCTTCTTCTTCTTCTTCTTCTTCTTCTTCTCTTCTTCTTCCTTCTTCTTCTCTCTCTCTCTCTCTCTCTCTCTCTCTTCTCTCTTGAGACAGGGTCCTGCTTTGTTGCCCAGGCTGGAGTGCAATAACGTGATCACAGTTCACTGCAACCTTGAACTCCCAGGCTCAAGGGATCCTCACACCTCAGCCTCCTGGGTAACTGGGTCTACAGGTGTCTGTCACCACACCTGGATAATTAAAATATATATATATATATATATTTTTTTTTTTTTTTTTTCTTAGATATGGAGTCTTACTGTGTTTCCTAGGCTGGGCTCAAACTCCTGGCCTCAAGTGATCCTCCTGTCTCAGCCTCTCACAGCACTGAGATTACAGGTGTGCGGCACCACACCCAGCCCGTTAGTGACTCTCTCCCATTTCATTCAGTTCTCAACCCACTGCATTCTCCGTTTTTCTTCCTCACATCTCTGATGCTGCTCTCAGGGTGACCTTTATACAACCCAAACCAGTGGTCACTTCTCTGTCTCTATCTCTTGTGTGTCATTAGTGTGTTTGTGATGCATCCGCTCCTCCCTCCTGGACTTTTTCTCCTGTCTGTTGTCTTTTATGAACCCACTTCCTCTTTGTTTTCCTCCTACTTTCTAGTCTTCTCCTTTTCAGCCTCTTTTTTCATGTCTGTGTGTGTCTGGATGCAGGAGCACACACTCAGACCCTTGCTATTCTGACTTTATGTACTTTTCTTGAGTGGCCCGATCCAAATGTAGAACTTTGCTTATAATGAGTCTCCTTCCAGTCTATGTCACTAACCTAGTGTAGCCTGGGACCCAGCCATTTAGCTCTCTGTCCTCAGATTAACTCCATTTGTTCCCACAGAAATTCAAACTAAGCATGTTTCAAACAGAGCATCTAACCTTCTCTCAATTATTTCATTTTTCATCACCTTTGCAGTCACTGATGCCACAGTTCTTCACACTGTCTGGGTATTCTGGACTCCTTCATATCCCTACTTCTGGCACAAGATTTAGTGATTCCTGTGGCCTCTCATGTCATTACTGCCATTCAAACCCGCCTGCTGTCTCCCTCACCCCATGTTCCTGCCCCTGCCTACACCCTCATGACTTCCCACCTGATGGCTGAAGAGTTGTACTGGTCTTGCTTTCAAACCAGCCTCCTCCAACCCATCCTCCTTACCGCTGCCCCCTCCACACACAAATCTCATCATGTTACTGTCCTGCTTAAGATGCTTCACAACCTCCCATGTCCAGTGGGATAAAACGCAAACACCTGCCATCAGCACACAAGGCAGGTTACAGTGCAGCCCGGCCCACATCCCACCTGGCTTCAGTCACACTGAAGAACTGCAGTTCTCCTTGCAACTTTATGCCTCTCTGCTCCTGAGCCTGCTTCTCCTGCTGGAAATGCCATTTCCCCTTTCTCTGTTTTGCTAACCTCAGGTAAACACAGTCCCCAGGAACCTTTCCTAAATCTCATTTTTTCAAAGTGCCCTCTTTATGCTCCTGAGCGGCTCCAGTGTATATCTTATGGTACTCAGTGGTGATCAAAACAACCTATGGAAATAAAAAATTAAAAAAACACGAAATAAAATACACATGTAGCAATCTTCTTTTCTTTGTCTCTTTGGATTTTGGATTTCAAGCAGCTTGAGGACAAGGCCCATGTCTTCTGAGTTACATCCTTAGTGCCTAGAGAGCGAACATTCACAATGAGTGTTTATTTAATGGAATGAAAATTAACATTTGAAGGTGGAATTTGCTTTAACATGCACAGACCTTTAGTTTTAGACTGTGTGAATATAATAAAAACAAAGTAACCTAAGGTAAACAAACCACACCTCTGTGGCACAGCTTGTATGTCACGTTTTTCATTTGGTTTTTCTTTGGGCTTCGTTTCTGTAGGTAAATAATTCTCTAGCCCATAAACTCAGTAGAGGATCCTCAGCATCCGTGTGTGCCTCTGAACTTGCTGTCACTTGATGCATCCAAGGAGAGGACTGTTTTCCCGTGTTGGGCTTGGAGGAGAAATCCTCGCTTAGGGAACAACAACCATGCAGTGTCATTTCGCTTCGCTTCCTCTTCCAGGCTGAACCCCGTGCTCTCTCATCTTTGTTCTTTTACTGTAATAGTAATAGACTTTTTTGTTGTCAACCTTTTGCTGCTTCTTATACATCAGGTAAAGCTAAGATACTATCCCATAGGTGTTTCAAATGCAACAACTTTTATTTCCAGGTAAAACTACACTTGAAAATACACATTCAACAAGAACATTTTGTGAATGTTGTGTGAATGACAACACTTTTAAATTTACTATGCCTTAAAATGAAAGTGTTTTGATAAAATTATATAAGGTACCATTTTTATTCTAAAAGTAAGAACGTAACTTGGAGTCTACAAATAGCACTAAGACTCTGGAGGTCTTTTCATGTCCTGCATTATTTTTTTCCCCGAAAGATTTTGATTTCATCTCCCCACTTCCCTGCCTTGCTCTGTGGCTATATCAGTATTTTTTATGTCTGGTCCTGTAGGGGTTCTGAGACCCTATGGGAATGGGGTAGGGGGACTATGCAATTTTGTTTTTACCAGGAGTTGTGTGACTTGGGCAAGTTACTTTATTTCTGTGGTCAGTTCCCTAATATGTAAAATAATTTCTTCTGTTAAATCAAGTTTAGCCTAAACTTGGTTTAACATATTTTAAGTTTGGCCTAAAGGTTTCTCTGTACATCATGAACAAGTGGAGGTGTAAACAGACCGTAGCCTACAGTTGTGCCAATCACCAAGTTTTGGCCAATCATATGTAGCCAACTGTTTGAACCGTGTTCAAGTTAGGCAGACATTGAGCTGTAACCAATCTGGCCGTTTCTGTACCTCACTTCTGTTTTCTGTGTGTTACTTTTCTTTTTCTGTCCGTAAACTTTCTTCCACCACGCGGCTGTGCTGGAGACTTTGAGCATACTCTGGCTTGGGGGGCTGCCCGATTTGTGAATTGTTTATTGCCCAATTAACCTCATTTAAAATTTATTCGGCTGAAGTTTTTCTTTTATCAGGTGGTGTCAGAAGTGGGGTTGGAAGTAGAGCTTCTAATGACCCGCAGGAGTGCTGAGTGACCTACGAGGTACACTCCGGGCTCATTGTGTCTCCTTCTCTCTCGGAGCAGCTGGGGATCGTGGGAAGTTCTCTCTCAGATTCTGAAGCTCCACAGATTTGTGTGTTGAGCTCTCTTGAGTTTCTTTGAGTAAATTTCTGATCCTGATTGGGTTTGAAAGTCGCAAAAGAAATTGAACTGAGTCCAGGATTGGACTGGCTCCAGTAATTAACTGGCTTGGATCTAGTTAGAGGCCTCTTACATCTAACTGGATCAGAAAGAAACCAGTATTAAATAGCAATATTGCAAGGGTGTAAAATTTGGCTTTTGGAAATTCACAGGGATTTTTGTGTTCTACTCCTTTGTTTCATTTTTCTTGTGCACTTATGTAGGAAAAAAAAAATAATTGGCTAAGTTGAACAAGGGAACCTGAGAGCAAAGCCAGTATTTGAGGTAAAAACGTGATCTTTAATTTCTGAAGAACTGAATTCCTTTTGGATTACACATGCATAAGTATTAGGCCCTGGAAGGAGCAAAGTCTTATAGAAATTGTCCTGGCATGGTGGCTCACACCTGTAATCCCTGCACTTTGGGAGGCCAAGGTGGGTAGACTGCTTGAGGCTAGGAGTTTGAGACCAGGCCGGCCAACATTGTGAAACCCTGTCTCTACTAAAAATAAAAAAAAAAAAAAATCCAGGCATGGTGGCATGTGCCTGTAATTCCAGCTACTCGGGAGGCTGAGGCACAAGAATCACTTGAACCTAGGAGGTGGAGGCTGCCATGAGCTGAGATCATAATACTGCACTCCAGCCTGGGTGACAGAGACTGTGTCTCAAAAAAAAAAAATTTTTTTTTTACTAAAGAACTTGCAGTGGAACATTCCGAAAGAACAACACTGCACTGAAGTGCATTTGAAAATTAGGGCTCCCAAATTAGTGTCATGTACAGTCATGTACGGTCTCATGTAGCGATGCCTATTGATATGCAGAAACTTCTAAAAAATTTCAAGACTTTACAAAAAATAAATAAAAATTTTAAGCAACTAATTGATTTAAAAAATTAAATCTGCCTTGCACTTTTCGCTGATGGCTGTGGGTGACAGGATGAGGCATGTACGGGATCGTGGGACATGGGGAACTTTTTTCTCCCCAAAGCGGAAACTTGAGAGCTGATGAGACGACTGGAAAAGATCCCTTTATGACTGACAAGCAGCTCCCTGAAGTTTTTTGTTTTTTTGAAACGGAGTCTCGCTCTGTCGCCCAGGATGGAGTGCAGTGGCACAATCTCAGCTCACTGCAACTTCCGCCTCCCGGGTTCAAGTGATTCTTCTGCCTTAGCCTCTCGAGTAGCTGGGATTACAGGCACCCACCACCATGCCCGGCTAATTTTTTGTATTTAGTAGAGACGGGGTTTCACCGTGTTGGTCAGGCCGTTCTCAAACTCCTGATCTCAGGTGATCTGCCCACCTTGGCCTCCCAAAGTGCTGTGATTATAGGCATGAGCCACCACGCCCGGCCCTGAACTTTTAATTTAGTGTCACTGCAATAGATGGGTCCTTCTCTGGCCTCCCTGAACTCTTTGCCTTCTCCACCCTGCTGCAATCAATGCTTTTCTTTTTCTCTTTCTCTTCTTTCCTTTTTCTATCTTTCTGTTACATCTTGCCTAGAGACCACATGTTGAAACTCCTGGCTGGAGGTCATTCCACCCCACTTTGAATGGATTAAAGATAGCAGAGCCCAACCAGGGGCAAGTTTAAGCCTTACCAGTTCAATATTGGGCACTAAGCAGAGTGGCTAATGTCTAAGTTCTGTCACATATATTTTGCTGTGGCTGGACGGGAAAATATTAATTCCGCTCCCCCATGCAATCTCTTGGGCAGCATCTTACAAAATTGAGAGGTTTTTGCCTATGGTTCCATGAAATCAAACAAGATGATTTTCCTTTGCATTGTGACTTGGCCCCCAGGCCACACACACCAGGGTGCAGCTAACAGGGTCACTAGGGCCACTCAGAAAGAGGGAGCCTGGAAGCCTGGCATGCTAGCAAAAAGGTAAGAATTTCTTAGCAGTCGGACTTCTGGCCTCTCTCTGTGTGGAAATGGTTGTAGGAATGGTAAAAATCATGGTGTCCTCTGCAAAGTTTTAATTAATGATAAAAAGGATTTGTGAGCTAATTTTAAGCTGTAGCAGATCTGGTGTACTTTGTGCTATGAATTGGTCTTTCTGTGTCATTTGGTCATAAAAAGGGGTTAAATAGGATCAAATGTGGGCCTAGGACTCCCAGAAGCCTGCTGTTCAAGCCAGCCTGGCAAACTGGTCAGTTACGAACTGCAGGTCCCTGAAACCAAAAAACACTGGATAAGGATTCCCTCTCATCTTGTTGTATGTCCTTGGGAGCTTGACCTTATAACCACATGATGGTACTTGCTTTTGGTCTCCACCATCTGGAGGACAGGAATTTTGGAGTTCATGTCATAGTTAGCTCTAAAAATTGTCTTGAACAGTTAAAAGCCTTTGCAAGCGGAAAATTGGCCGCTCTTCCTCTTCTGGGAAGAGCAAAGGAAACCACCAGTGGTGTAGCTTAGTGGTTAAGGCTTTACCATCTTATGATGGTGGCTAGGGTTCAATCCTAGCTCAGGGAATGAGACCTGTTTGGTTTGAGATCTTTGCTATTTGCTGATTCTCTTCCCCTCATGAACAACTTCTGACTCCTCATCTTGAGTTTTCCTTTCTCTGAGCTATGTTTGGAAATTCTAGAGTTTGTAAAAATTGCTTGCTACCCTTTTGAAAACACCTCGTACACTTGTGGTTAAGTCATAACCTTAGTTAAGGCTTATTGGTTTCACCTGGGAGATTGGCTTTGGTAAAGTTCAAAAGCCAGACATATTGGCTGTTTAGCCTGGCTAAAGTCGAGTAATAAGATATTTAAAATGATTTTTTTAGGCTGGGCACAGTAGTTCATGCCTGTAATCCCAGCGCTTTGGGAGGCCAAGAAGGGTGGATCACCTGAGGTCAGGAGTTTGAGACCAGCCTGACCAACATGGAGAAACCCTGTCTCTACTAAAAGTATAAAAATTAGCTGAATGTGGTGGCTTGCACTGGTAATCCCACCTATTCAGGAGGCTGAGGCAGGATAATTGCTTTAACCTGGGATGTAGAGGTTGCAGTGAGCTGAGATCGCACCACTGCACTCCAGCCTAGGCAACAGAGCAAGACTCCATCTCAAAAACCAAACAAAAGGTTTTTTTTTTTGTTTTTAGAAAGAGCGCTATAGTTAAAAGTCAGCTTAATTAAAAGTGGATATCCAAGCTATAGGTATATTTAAAAGGCCTTTTGGTTTTTTCTCTTCTTGGATCTTGTTTTTTTTTTAAGTTTTTTTTTTTTTTTCTTTTTAGCCAACTGAATTGTTTTTCTCCATTTTGTCTTCTTGTCACTTTTGTTGCACACATGAGAGGACTTAAGGTAACTTCTAACAGCCTGGGACTCCTTGGGAAAAACAGAGGAGGCACTACAGATCCTGTTTTGGGATAAACCTCTGTTTTCCTCATGAAACACCAGGAATCAAAAGCAGATAGATCCCTCTGAAAATCTAAGGCTAAGTATCCTTTTGGGGATGGCCAACATGGCAAAACCTAGTCTGTACTAAAAATACAAAAATTAGCCTGGATAAGTGGTGCACACCTGTAGTTCCAGCTACTGGAGAGTCTGAGGCATGAGAGTTGCTTGAGCCTGGAAGGCGGAGTTGCAGTGAGCCAAGATTGCACCACTGCATTCCAACATGGGCAACAGAGTGATACTCTGTCTCAAAATAAAGGAAAGAAAGAAAGAAAGAAGGGAAGAAAGAAAGAAAGAGAGAGGAAGGAAGGAAGGAAGGAAGGAAGGAAGGAAGGAAGGTCATTTCCACAGTTAACTGCTTAATGCTGATGCAGTTTCTGAAAACTTCACAAGTAGGCACAATTCTAGAATATGGTGTCTTTTAGGAGGTTCCTGAAAGGATGGAAAGGACCCCCAAAAGTACTCTTGATTACAGGTTTCTGATAACTTTAGAATCATATCATTTTTACTGGGTAAGAAAATTCCTGGAGCTTTTTTTTTTTGAGACAGAGTCTCACTCTGTCGCCCAGGCTGGAGTGCAGTGGTGTGATCTTGGCTCACTGCAACACTGCAAGCTCCACCTCCTGGGTTCACACCATCCTCCTGCCTCAGCCTCCCGAGTAGAGTAGCTGGGGCTTCCTGGAGCTTTAATGAAAAGACTGACTGGTTTATAAAACTGCTATTCCAAGTAGAATACAAATTAATTGAATACCAAGAAAATACTTTGCAAGTCTTTCATGCTAAATCAGCCAATACTGAAATTGTTTTGATATACAATTTGAATAAACTCCGTGGTCTAACTCAAATTACCTGTGATAACCCATCAGTTATCAGTGCTATGCACCTCAACTGGAGAAACAACCGTGTTAAGCATGGACTCATGGAGAACCAAGGTGGCTGCCTTATCCTTCCTGAGCTTTTAAAGCTTTTATAATTTAAAGTTCTGCATTCCATCACTCATCATGGAAAAGATAAAATGATCCAAGTTAAATGCATATTGGTGTGGTGACTTCTATATTGCTAAAATAGTTTATGACCAATGTTTGGTTTGCCAAATCCATATTCCTGGGAAGATAATCAAAGCTTCAGGTACATTCTGCTACCCAGTGAGCCATCTAAACATTTATGAAGGGATTTCAGTCAATTGTCACTTTCAGTGCATGTTTTCTGGTTGTGAAAAAGCTTTCTTATACAAGTCAACTGTTGTTATAACAGTAGATTATTATGACACAGTGTATTTTCACCAGATAAAGAAAGCTTTTTATGGCTCACTGACTGAGGACAGTCAATCCCTTCACAATCTGGAACCTGAAGATTGGATCTTCTGAGAACATCAGAGAAAGAGTGCCCCTGCCATCCACACTGCAGCAAACATCAGAACCGTGAACCTTGGGTTCATAATCTCTCAACTGAGAAGGATCCCTCCGCATTCTTGAAACTGTACACCCATCGGAACCCTTAAGGTAAAGCTAACCAGGGAAGTTTCTCCCCAGAGGAAGATGGTATCCTTGATGTGAAGAGCTTTTACCAAGATCACAGATCACGACTTCTCTGCTATAATGAGGCTCTTATCTTTGAGTATTTTTCTCCTTGCTTACGCCTCTATGAACAATAGAAGTACAAAGGGGGTCTGTTGTGTGCACTCATGGGGTAGGTGTACTTTTATTTGTGAGGGGTTTTGCAGCCAGCCTTATACCTGGATAACCTCACACCTTGATAGATGAAAGATGAAGGCCCAGTGTAGGTGAGAAGTTTTAATAGTACATAGGTTGCCTCATCATCAGTCAGAAACAGAACATTGATTCACTCCCCTATTCCACATCATGGGTTAAAGAGAACATTGCCAGGAGGACTTCACTCTTCTAGAAGCATCCTTTTTACCATGATTTGGAGTAAAACAGGCAATGATTAGAAATGTATCCCTCATGATAGGCTCTAAACAGAGTCTACTGTAAGGGCTATGGTTATGCAACAGATTTTAAATTCTTTTGTGAAAGTTATGCTTAATAATAGGATTGCTATAGGTTACTTACTGGCTAAACAGAGAAGTATCTGTGCAGCTACTGGCACTTGTGGCCTATGGAGAAATACATCACATCAGGTACTACAGAGATTCAGTTGTAGGTAATTAATGAAGAGACTGCCTAGTTAAGTGAGTAACTCTTTATTTAGTTCATTCTTTGATCTATTTAATTTCAGGTGGTTTGGTTTATGGGGACCTTGGGTAAGGAGCATACTACAAACTCTTGGTATTATCCTCCTGATAGTCGTAATAGTAGTCTACCTGGTGCACTGTATTCTCTTAAAAGTTTTACGGCCAGGCGCGGTGACTCACTCCTGTAATCCCAGCACTTTGGGAGGCCGAGATGGGCGGATCACGAGGTCAGGGATCAAGACCATCCTGGTGAACATGGTGAAACCTGTCTCTACTGAAAAATACAAAAAACTAGCCAGGTGAGGTCGGGCGCCTATAGTCCCAGCTACTCGGGAGGCTGAGGCAGGAGAATGGTGTGAACCCGGGAAGCGGAGCTTGCAGTGAGCTAAGATCCAGCCACTGCACTCCAGCCTGGGCGACAGAGTGAGACTCCGTCTCAAAAAAACAACAACAACAACAACAAAAAAACGTTTTAAATGTTTGCATGTAGCCATCTCTAGAATGTCAAATTGTCTCTTTTCACCTGAAATGACAAGAGTGAAAGAAATGTGTGACCATGAGGGCACTTTAATCTATGAATGATGTGCTGAGACTGGAAACCCAAAATGATGGTAGCTGAGAGTGATGCTAAGGCCCTAGGCTTTGGTCACATTCTCACTTAAGTGAAAATAAAAGGGGATATTTAAGTGAGAACAAAAGGGGATATTTTTAAACAAAATCACTAGAGGCCATTGTTTTGGACTTCAATGAAAGTCCAAATGCACTAAGCTCCAACAGATCAGACCAAACCAAAATGAAGTCAGTCCCTCGTGCTAAATGTGACATAATTAAACTAAGACTTTAAGGAAACACGTAGATTCTAGAACAGACCAGGTTTTGTTTTTTATCCTATAAACAGAACGTTCCAGCAAAAGGAGGTACCCTGTAATCTAACTCTCACAAAAATAAAATAAAATAAACAAATAAACTGAAGTCCTTGTTCCCCCTTACAAAACTCCTTGTTCTGCTATTTCCCAGTGGGTTTCAAGACCAAATAAGTACATTTACAATGGTCATAGTGGCATCAATGACTAACGTTTTGGTCAATCTCTCAAAATTAAGATGACGACCAAAAAAGCAAAATTGTTAAATCAAGTTTAGCCTACAGCTGTCTCCTTACATATTTTAAGTTTGGCTTAAAGGTTTCTCTGTACATCGTGAACTATAATAATAAGTGGAGGTGTAAACAGACTGTGGCCCACATTTGTGCCAATCACCAAGTTTTGGCCAATCATATGTAGCCAACTGTTCAAACTGTGTTCAAATAAGGATACACCCAGCTGTAACCAATTGGGTGTTTCTGTACCTCACTTCTGTTTTCTGTATGTCACTTTCCTTTTTTTTTTGTCCATAAATCTTCCACCACATGCCTGCACTGGAGTCTCTGAACCTACTCTGCCTCAGGAGGCTGCCGGATTCACGAATCATTCATTGCTCAATTTGACTCTTTTTTTTTTTTTTTGAGATGGAGTCTCACTCTGTCGCCCAGGCTGGAGTGCAGTGGCGTGATCTCGGCTCAATGCAGGCTCCGCCTCCCAGGTTCACGCCATTCTCCTGCCTTAGCCTCCCGGGTAGCTGGGACTACAGGCGCCCACCACCACGCCTGGCTAATTTTTTTGTATTTTTAGTGGAGATGGGGTTTCACCATGTTAGCCAGGATGGTCTTGATCTCCTGACCTCGTGATCCACCTGCCTCGGCCTCCCAAAGTGCTGGGATTACAGGCGTGAGCCACCGCGCCTGGCCCAATTTGACTCTTTTGAATTGAATTCAGCTGAAGTTTTTCTTTTTTTCTTTTTTTTGGAGATGGAGTCTCACTCTGTCACCCAGTGTGGAGTGCAGTGGCACAATCTCAGCCCATTGCAACCTCCCCCTCCCGGTTCAAGCAATTCTCCTGACTCAGCCTCCCAAGTAGCTGGGACTACAGACACCATGCCTGGCTAATTTTTGTATCTTTAGTAGAGACAAAGGGGTTTCACCATGTTGGCAGGCTGATCTTGAATTCCTGACCTCAAGTGAACCACCTGCTTTGGCCTCCCAAAGTGCTGGGATTACAGGCATGAGCCACCGTGTCTGGCCAGATGTTTTTCTTTTAACACTTCTACATGGAAGTGTGAGGATTCAACGAGTAAGTTGAGCACATGGTACATGTTCAGTGAATACTTTCTGATTGTGTTCAGTGTTATCATTATGGGAATGGTGTGAGGGATGTGTAAGTCTTCGGAGACCAGGGAAACACCTGAAATCTTCTATGAGTCATCTCTGTCGTCGTTTATCCCCATTCTTTTTCTTTTCATTCATTTTGCATTTCTCATTTTCTGTGTTATTCCCTTGCATTCCTAAAAACATTCCCGTTACCTGCTTGCTTCCTGTATTCTGTGTCGTTTCCTGCATGTTCACCATTCTGCAGTCTTCTTCCCCTTCATGCAGCAGGCCCTGTGTCAAAGTATGCAGAGTTTGTGCAGACACACAGACCCTCTGGGGAGTATGTGTTTGAATTTGATGAAGATGAGCAGTTCTTTGTGCACCTGGACAAGAAGGAGATGGTCTGGCATCTGTCAGAGTTTATTCATGCTGTGAGGGGCAGAAAATGAAGGGACCAGGGATGGAAAGGGAGGGGGGACAGAACACTGCAGTCCTAACCCCACTGTGTTGGCTCTACTCCAGGTGTCAAACTTTCTCAGTCAGAAGTTGATATAAGGAAGGGACCATCTTCAGGTCTCCTTTGAAGCTCCCAGCCTAGCTTTCTTTTGAATCTCTGCTCTTCAACCACAATGATTTATGTACCTCAAGACCCCTCCACCTCCTGGCTGCCTGTGATCTTCCTGCACCTAGCACTCAGCAAAGGGTCTGACATTTAGATAGCACTCAATCAATATGAAGAATTTAAAGTATAGTGACAAGGTGGTGCCCACACTGGATGGTCTGTATGCTGTGGTCTCATCAGGGACCTTTCTCTGCACCGCATTTTTCCTGAGAAATCCCAGAGTTCAGTAAATACCTGTGTATGTCAGAGCTAGACACATCTGATGCCTTTCTGGGACTGCTTATATTCTCCGTTCCCTAGGAATGCATATCCTTGACCTGTAATTGTAGGATACAGGTGCATTATGGGTGCAGATATCTCAGTTTTGCATCCTGCAAGAGTTAGTCTGGAGATTGTTCACTCCACTCTGAGTATTGCTGACACCTACAGCATGTTTCCAGGGGACAAAAATGGAAGGGGGTGACTCTGATTGGATAGTGAGAGGAACACGGGTAGCTCTGGGAAACTGACCAGGGATAGGTGCCCAGGAGCACACAAGGCCCAGAAGCTGCTTGTGAGAAGTCAGGGAGAAGGAAGCCAAAACTGGATGTATCAGAGAGCCACTGAGTGCTCATTATGTGTATCAGGAGTTAAGAATCCATCCTCTACATGAAAAGAAAAGCTTAGACCAAACATGTCTTCTACCTTAATTTACAGTAACGTAATATGAAATGCAAAACACGTAACAATTTTGGACTGTAAAAAAAAGATCAGTGTTTGAAAGAGTGCTGCACGTATTGCTTTGCACTTTCAACAACGGGGAGGCGTTTCTCTCTGTATGAATTATTAGCTCAGGAGGTCTAGGCTGGTGAATGAATGCAGACTTACAGGATAAATGTCTACTGGATGCATTCAAAAGGCCAAGCAACATTTGGTTAAGGGGTATTTGTGACGGCATTCAGAGAAAATGTTGAAAGCGTGTTAGATTGTATTTATCATTGTAAATTCTGATGCTCATTTAATTTCTTAACAGTAATGCTAATACATGCTCTTAGTTATATGTCGAATCAGTGCTATGTCAATATGGGTCCTATAACACAGATCTGCAGTCTGCTCACCACTGAATAGCTAAGAATAGTGGCTTCAGACCTGAATGGATGACGACACCAAACACGATGATCGGGCAGCTCACTGAAATACAGTAAATCCAGGAGAGGTCCATGTCCAACGGGCCACCTTATACAATAGCTTGGATATCCCCATTTTCATGGTTGTCTTCTTTCCTACGTGTAAACCACATTAAACTTCTTTATTAACTCTCACTGTTTGCCAAAACTCTCAAGAAAAAAAGTGATGAGACATGACTTGGTATATATTCTTAACAGAAAACGATCATGCTGGGTTTTGATTATTGATGGCACTAAGGAGAAAGGAACTTGGCTGGAGGCCCCATGAGAGAAACCATGCATTGAATCCAGGAACAGAATGATAGAAATTGGCTTCAGGGCAACTGCTCAGCAGCAGCATCCTCTTGGGAGGCTGGGGGTCTGTCCTTCAAGCAGATACTGGGACTAAAGAAACAGAAAATGCTTGTTCCAAGGCACATTAGTCTTTTAGGCAAGGTCAGGAACCCAGTGGGGGTAAAAAACAAAGTTATCCCAGGTTGCTGGCCCCCTTCCTTTAAGTCCCAGGAGACAAAAATAATGATGAGAGGCTGAATCTCACGCTGACAAAGAATAGAGTTGATCTGAGCTTCCTTTAGCAATGGAGCCATGCAATGCTCTTTCCCCACTCACCCCAGGGCTGAGGTTGAAACAGGGGTTCAGGCCTGAGACTCTTTTCCTAGAGGAGTCTCAGTGTCACAATGCACAGAAAGGACTTATGTCCTCCTGTAACTCCCGCAATAAGGAAATCAAAGCAGGAATATTACCTGTTTATGCAGATCCTTGTTGAATTGAAATGACAGGAGGAAAGAGAATGTATTCAGCTATTGAAACCACCTCAGACAATTAGAGAAACGTTTTCATCACACTTCCAATGCCCATCACTCAATGGACACTCTGCAGGAGCCTGAGTAACTGGGGCTTCATGCATCTGGCTGCATTAAGATGCTAGGCTGGGATTCCTCTCTCCTTAGAAGCTGTCCTTGTTCCCGGACTATGTGATTCAGTAAGCTCTCTGGCATTCTTTTTTGTCTCAGCCCCTCATCATGGAAGAAGGGTGAGCAAGTCGGGAGAAAGGCAGGTATCAGTCACCTCACAGGATTTCTCACCTTTCTTGCTCCTTCTGTGCATGAAGATGCCCACTCCACAGATGATGAGCCCCAGCACGAAGCCCGCGGCTCCTGTCAGCGTCTTGCTCTGGGTAGAATCAGACTGTGTCTCTGTGAAGAACAGGCTCAGGTTGAGTGTCACCTCCAGCAGCTGCACCCCTGCTCACGTCCTGTCTGAGATCCTGGAGCCTGATGCAGAATATTGGCACGAGGACAGTGAGGGGGATACACCTTGCATAGTAGGAAATTGAGAAACAGTCACTCTTTCAATTCTGGAACAGAGGGTGTGACCTCAACAACAGACAAACGCAGATTCAATTAGTTGCCTTTCAGAATAACTAGAATAAGCTAAAAGGCTGAAGGAAGACAATAGTTCCCATGTGTAAGGTCAGTTCAGGAAGGTGTCTGCGTCCCTAGATTCTTGGACAAGGAGAGGAACTATGAATCCTTAGGACCTCCTAGGCTGGGACAGGCAAGTCTCCATTGCCCCCAGATTAAAACTACACTCAGGGTCTTGTATAGAAGAAAAATGGGGTCGGACATGGCCCCAGGGTATAGATGCAGAAGACAAGACGAGTGAACCCCAGAGCCAGAGAGTCCCTGCTCTTCAGAGGTGGGATCTAGAGGGTCATCAGAGACTCACTCACTCCACTCCACGGTGACAGGACTGTCCAGGCTGGGGTGCTCCACTTGGCAGGTGTAGACGTCTCCCTGCTGGGAGGTCATTTCCAGCAACACCAGGATCTGGAAGGTCCAGTCTCCATTACAGATGAGGCTAGTGGACACGACCCCAGTTGTTTCCTCCTGTCCATTCAGGAACCATCAGACTTGAATGCTGCCTGGGTGGAAATCTGTCATGTGACAGACGAGGAGGTTGTGGTGCTGTAGGGGCCCCTTCTTGGAGGGGACGACGTTCAGCCTCGGCTGGACTAGGAGTGGGGAAGTGGAAAAGTGGAATAACATTTGAGATTATTATTTCTTAGACATGCTCATTATGGAACTGATTTCTAGATGTTGAAAATAGGAATAATGGTTGGGCACAGTGGCTCATGCCTGTAATCCCAGCACTTTGGGAGGCTGAGGCAAGTGGATCACCTGAGGCTGGGAGTTCGAGACCAGCCTGACCAACATGGAGAAACCCTGTCTCTACTAAAAATACAAAGTTAGCTGGGCGTGGTGGTGCATGCCTGTAATCCCAGCTACTCAGGAGGCTGAGGCAGGACAATCGCTTGAACCCGGGAGGCGGAGGTTGCGGTGAGCTGAGATCATACCATTGCACTCTAGCCTGGACAACAAGAGTGAAACTGTGTCTCAAAAAAAAAAAAAAAAAAAAAGAAAGGAATGATGTGATTAGGCCAGTGGATACGGGGAGTACTAAGAAATAGAAATAGTATTGAGAAGAATAGGAGGCACACAAACTTACCAGTTTGTAGCACATTTAAAAGAAATCTTGTCTATCAGCCACTGATTAACAGCCTTTGGACAAAGAATATTTAATCAGCAGTGACACTACCTTATCTTTTGAGTGCCCCTATCCTGATGTAAAAGATGAAAAATTTGCTCAAATAATTTCTTGAAATTAATATATATATAAAAACAACATTCTCACGGTCTATTAATCCAATAACTATATTTCATAAATATACCAAGAAAATAAAGTGAGCTTGACATGACTTACTCTGCAAGTAAGCTATGGATTTTCTGGCCTTGCCTACACTCAAAATCCTCCTATTTACATAATATCCTGAGCCCCTACATGCGTAAATGGTAGAAATCCCATCCTTTTCCCTAAGTTCCTCCTCTACACTGTGTTGTCACGTCCACTGAGGTTCTCACAGATAACCAGGTGCTGGCTGTGCCTTGGCACCTCTCTATTTTTGCCCCCTCTTTTTCTGCTGCTTACAGATCAATTTCCACGCTACCACCTGCAGCTTTTCCTTTGGACCTCAGCCCCAGTACCCTTTTCCTCCACAGAAGGCAGAAAAGGGCCAACTGCCCCTAGAGAATAGCCCAATTACAGGAATGTTCCAAATCAGAGCTTCTAGGTCCTTATTTACTCTGTTCTTGAGAACACAAATACCCTGACGTGGGCCTGTGCCAGGTAAATCAATAGTCTTGAACTAACCCACAACACTTACTCCCTATGGTATTTTTGCCTTATGTCCAGGATTATCCACATTCACAGCCTCTTCCCTCAATGTGATTTTATTTCAGAAGCACTTGGCTCTCGCTGTACTTCAACCACCTCCATAAACTCAACATCCATCAGACTGGTCAACCCATGTCTGAATCCCAACTGTGGATTAAGTGGAACTTCTTCCCCATAGGTGCCCTGGGAAGCATGAAAATCATATGGGTGTCTGTTTTAAGGTCCCAGAACATTCCATGAGAAGCACTCTGCTCCATCTTCTTTGTCAGGAGCTGGTCAGCCTGCAGCACATCAGAGACCTCCAAGGGGCGCTGGAGGTAAGGCTTGATACCCATTGGCCTCATTTCTGACCCAGTTCAAATATATTTCACCAAGGCAAGGATTCCTGTTTGTTCTAGTTGCCTTTGTTCAGTTACTTCTAGATTTGGGTGGGCATCCACACTGGAATGGCCAGGACTTCTATCCTCCTCCTTCCTCCGTCTCCCCTACCCCTTTGTTTTTCTCTATTCTAATTCATGCCCTTATTATGATTTTCCTGGACAATAGTAGTAGTTTCTTACCTCATCTCTCTGCCTCTGGTTCCTGCTCTCTCCAACTGACTTCACAGTCTTCCGAAAACAGATTTCCAGCCTTGTCATTTTCATTTGAAGATTTCTGAAGATTTTAAAAAATATTCAGTGTTCTCACACTTATCTGGCTACTGGGAATCACTTGGGAGCTGATTAAAAACATAGATCTCCAGACCTCCCCACCCAGGGAATCTGAATCTCTCGGCAGTGAGTCGGGGGGAATCTCTGCTTCACAGAGGATCTCAAGGAGAGTCTTGTGAGCAGCGAGGTTGGGGACCTGCTGGCCTAGAGTGTAGCAGGATGAGCCTCAGACAAAACCTTTCAGACACCAAGTTGTAGAAGGAAGGGCTTTATTCAGCTGGGAGCATCGGCAAGCTACTGCCTTAAAATCCGAGCTCCCCGAGTGCACAGTTTCTGTCCCTTTTAAGGGCTCACAGCACTAAAGATTTCACATGAAAGCGTCATGATTGATTTGAGCAAGCAAGGGGTACGTGACAGGGGTTGCATGCACTGGTGGTCAGAGAGAAACAAAACAGGGCCGGGAGGGAGTTTCACTACGTTCTTTTATACAATGCCTGGAATCTATGAATAATATCGGTTTCTAAGTTATGAATTGATTTTTAACTACTGGGTTTAGGCCAGGCAGGCCCAGGCCTTGTTTTGGACCTGGCACTGGGCTACCTGTCTTTGGTTTTACTTCCTTGTTTTTTTTCTTAAAACTGGTACTGAGTATAAAACAATATAAAACAATATGAGAGGGTCTCTCTCTTTCCTCAAGAGGAGAAACCCACACTCCTTAGACTGGCATCAGGGGGTCTCTGCAATCTGGCAGCTGATTACCATGAAAGAAAATGCTGCCACGTCGCTGATTTGGGCCTCTATGAAGTCTTAGTGACAGTTTTTGCAAATTGTATTACTTTTATTTGGACACCTCTCTAAACCAATTACCTCAGCAACTTTCCTAAACCCATGTCACTCTCCTCATCCTTACTCAATGTGTCCATCTTCTCCCTCTTATTGGATGACGTTCCTTCCACTTTCCCAGAAACAGAGGGATCAACGGTGTGACCTCCTGAGCCTCCTCCTCCTCCCCCTTCATTCTTTCCTCTCTCTCTAGGGCAAAGGTCCTTGTTTAGTGCAAGGCTCGCTAGTGCTTTTTGGTCTCCTTCACAGGATTTCTCTCTTGGCCAAATTAATACAGGGGTGGGTTATTAAAAGATTATTTTTAGGCAGCTAGAAAGGGTAAAAGTTCTTGGTGGAATTTGCCTTTAATAAAAAGCAGCCCCAAACCAATTTTTTCTCTAACAGAAAGCAACCTCAACACTCAGGCATAGATGGGCAAACTAGAAGCTTTTATATGTAAATGCCAGCAGCTGTACCTGGAAGCCAGGTAATTCAATATGGCATTTCTCACTCTCTTTTCCTTCTATGTTTACAGGTGTCATGGCAGCCTCCAGGTTAAAGCCGTGGGCAGGTATCATGGCCGCCACCAGGTGGAGGCTGTATTTGTATAATAAAAGACTACGGTGGGAGGGCCAGTCTTTTTGCAGGTTATGTAAATGACACACCTGGTCAAACCAATCCCCTGAGCCCTACGTAAATCAATCACTGACTCCTCAAGCCTCGAACAAAACCAATTGTGTTCCACTACAAACAGGAGACCCTCTCTTGGGCAACCTGCTTTCTCAGCATTAGGAGGCTTTTTCTCTCACTCTTCTTTTCTGTCTATTAAACTTTCCGCTCCTAAACCCACTCCTTGTGTGCGTCCGTGTTGTGAATTCTTTTTTCGGCTATGACAAAGAACCAGGGTATATACCCCAGACAATGGAGCTGTTTCATTTTGGGAGCTCATCTGGGATCCGAATCAGTATAGAGCAAACCTCAAATCTGTTCTTTAATTTCAAGGCTCACTTCATACCAGTTTTCTTTCATGGATAACTTCACCATCGCATGAGGCTGGGAAAAGTCTTGGGGCAACTGAAAATTTCTGGCCAGGGTACACCCTGGTATTACTCAAAGGCTTCTGGACTGAACCCAGCCTCCGACAGCCTGTCCAGGCGTTGGTAATGGATATCCAGCTATCCTGTTGCAAAATTTTCCTTTCTTTTCTATCTGTGGGCACTATGTCTCCTGTCCTCTCTGTGTGCTCAATTTGCGGGAAGTTTTACAGTTCAGGGAAACAGTCAAGGAAGATGGGCAAATGCCACAGGCAGTAACTCTTACTCTATCCTGTCGCTGGTGAGCACATGGTATTTCTAAACCAACAGCACCACCTAGAGGAAATAGAAATCCTCTTCATCAGGCACCCTGTCGGTTTTTTATCGTTAACGCTGCGGCTTCCAAATTCTTTCTTTCCGTGCCACTAGAAAAGCCTCTTCTGTGAACAGGAAAGCTCTGTCTTCAACAGTTAGGAGTAAAATGTCCTCTGTAGTGAAATTTTAGTTCTGATACTGTCCTATCATCAGGAAAAACTTCCATTAGGTTCCCATGTTCATTTCTGTCTCCAATTAGGACAGTACTTAATTAGCAAGGGGATTTTAGGTTCGGAAGTTAACCAGAGCCATTTTGCTAAGGGTAAATGTTTTAGCATGGTCCATAATGGTAGGCAATCTAGCACATTGCCTCCATTAAAGGAGCCTACCCAAAGATGACATAGTCTCTCTGGAGATCCATTTTTCGGGGAGCCAGGCAGATCACACAAATTTAAGATGTCAAAGGGGATCACATAAGGTGGTTAAGCTAAGGTTGTGTGGGTAAAGCATGATTAATCCCATCACTTAGCTTATCCAGTTTCATGGCTTGGAGGACCATGCATACAACCATGTGTGGCACATTTAACGCATTGCCAGGACCCAGGACCAAGGAGAGAATACAGTAGGGAGGACACTTCCACTGTCTTCCCCTTCACCCTGGGTCACAATGAAAGAATGGGGACTGAAATGACACTTTTATTCTCACTTCTTTTTCTAGATGGGTGACAGACTAGCTTCAGCTTGCACCCCTCTGGAGTGCTCTCTGAAACACTGGAACTCCTTTAACCTCAGGACTTTGAATAGAAAAGTGACTCATTTTCTTTTGCACAAGGGCATGGCATTTTTACAAAACCTTTGCAAACGTTGTAAGATCAGCCCAGCTTTTTAAATAGGCATATCAGATAGGCCTATAGAAAAGAATCCCCCAGAATTAGAAAAGCGGTTTCCAAGGGAACCATCTGAGAATTCCCCTTATTTGGGGTCACCAATGTGGGGGAAATAAAGATAAATCAGACTGTTGCTGTGTCTATGTAGAAAAAGGAAGACGTAAGAAACTCCATTTTGATCTGTACTAAAAAAAATTCTTCTGCCTTGAGATGCTGTTAATCTGTAACTCTAGCCCCAACCCTGTGCTCGCAGAAACATGTGCTGTATTGACTCAAGGTTTAGTGGATTTAGGGCTGTGCAGGATGTGCTTTGTTAAAAATGTGTTTGCAGGCAGTATGCTTGGTAAAAGTCATCTCCATTCTCCAGTCTTGAGTACCCAGGGACACAATGCACTGTGGAAGGCCGCAGGGACTTCTGCCCAAGAAAGCCTGGGTATTGTCCAAGGGTTCCCCCCACTGAGACAGCCTGAGATATGGCCTCGTGGGAAGGGAAAGACCTGACCGCCCACCAGCCCAACACCGGTAAAGGGTCTGTGCTGAGGAGGATTAGTGAAAGAGGAAGGCCTCTTTGCAGTTGAGATAAGAGGAAGGCATCTGTCTCCTCCTCAATCCCTGGGAATGCAATGTCTCAGTATAAAACCCCATCGTACATTCTACTTACTGACATAGGAGAAAACTGCCTTATGGCTGGAGGTGAGACATGCTGGCAGCAATACTGCTCTTTACAGCACTGAGATGTTTGTGTAAAGTCAAACATAAATCTGGCCGACGTGCACATCCAGGCACAGCACCTTTCCTTAAGCTTATTTATGACACAGAATCCTTTGCTCACATGTTTTCCTGCTGACCCTCTCCCCACCATTACCCTATAGTCCTGCCACATCCCCCTTCCCGAGATGGTAGAGATAGTGATCAATAAATACTGAGGGAACTCAGAGACAAGTGCCGGCGTGGGTCCTCCATATGCTGAGCGCTGGTCCCGTGGGCCCACTGTTCTTTCTCTATACTTTGTCTCTGTGTCTTATTTCTTTTCTCAGTCTCTTGTCCCACCTGACCAGAAATACCCACAGGTGTGGAGGGCTGGTCCCCTTCAACCTCAAGCTCCCTTTTCATTACAGGACCTTAGGCAAACAAAGGAAGACTTATGCCAATTTTCTGACAACCCCAATAGGTATATAGAAGCTTTCCAGAATTTAACTCAGGTGTTTCACCTCACATAGAAGGATGTTATGCTGCTCCTAAACCAAACTCTAACCGCAGTTGAAAAGCAGGCAGATTTGCAGGCAGCAGATACTTTCGGAGATGAGCAACATGTCTCCTATAATACACCAAAAGGGAAGAAAAGAGATAGGGAAAGTGAAAAAAATAGCAGAAACACCATTCCCAATAGGAAGGGAAGCAATTCCTCTTGACAACCCCAGTTGGGACCCCAATAGCTCTGCAAATGAATAGAAATGGAAGCGCTTTTAAATAGGCATATTAGAGGGCCTATGAAGAACTAAGGCCTGACCTCTTAATTCCTCTCAACTGTCTATGATAGACCAAAACCCAGATGGAATCCTGCAGCTTTTTTTTTTTAAATTACTTTATTATTATTATACTTTAAGTTGTAGGGTACATGTTCATAACGTGCAAGAAAGGCTGAGAGAGGCACCAATAGAAAGGCTGAGAGAGGCACCAATAGAGCACACTTCCTTAGCCCCTGATTCAGTCAAGGGATGGCTCATTCTAAAGGACGAGTTTATTACACAGGCAGCTCTTGATATTAGAAGGAAACTGTAGAAGCAAGCTATAGGACCAGATAGCTCCTTGGAAAACCTCCTGAGGGTGGTCACTTATAATAGGGACCAGGAGGAGGCCCCAAAAAAGAGAAAGCTCAACAGAAAGACAGAGGCTCTAGTAGCAGCTTTGCAGGCTTGCAAAGTCCAGGATCCACGAGGTGCATCCGCTAGTTGCTATCAGTGTGGGAAGCCAGGGCATTTTAAAAACGAGTGCCCAAACAGCAAGAGGAAGACACCTCAACCTTGTCCAGCCTGTGGTGGAGACCACTGGAGATCAAACTGCCCCCGGAGACGGAGGTCACTGGGGTCAGAACCCGTCTCACAGATGGCCCAGCAGGACTCATGGGTCCCGGAGCTCAAACCCCAGCTCCAGTGGCTCAAACTGCAATTGCAGCACAGGAGCCGCCAGGTGATTCTGGAAATTGAAGGAAGGAAAGCATACCTCCTTCTAAACAGTAGAGCCAGCCTCTCTCTCTTTTCTCCTCTTTAATCCAGGCCGCTCTTCTTCCCATAGCATGATTGTAAGGAGTCTCAGGAAAAACTCTATTTCAATATTTTTCTCAACTTCCTAATTGCAGTTAGGAGGACCTATTGTTTACATATGCTTCCAAGCCATTTTCACTAAGGCTCTACCAGTCAAAAAAACCTCCAAATTAACCTTAGGAAATAATTTAGCTGTTTACACCCCACATAATGTAGCAGGATTACTGTCCTCTAGGGGAGCCTTTAGCTAACAAACAGCAGGTAAAGCAAGAATACATAAAGGCAGGATAAGTAGTAGTCACTCTAAATAATGTCTCTCCCAGACACAAGCACTCAATTAACTCAACTAATAGCTCTTGCAAGAGCACTTAAATTAAGCAAGGGAAAGATAGCTGCTTAGTTCTCCGTGTTCATGCTGCTATTTAAAAGGAAAGACATTCTCTTACCACTAAATGATCTCCTATAAAATATCACCAGGAAATTAACAGGTTATTATCCTCAGTTTTCCTTTCATGAAAAATAGCAGTAATGCATTATAGGGAGCATCAAAAGGGAACAGATGATGTAGCCAAAGGAAATAGGTTAGCTGACCAGGGAGCTAAACCAGGGCAAGGAAACCTCAAGGCATTAACACACTTCAAGCCCTTTTAATCTCAGAAGCCTCCATAAGAGAATTTAAACCTCAGTATTCCCCTGCAGAAATAAAATAAGCCATTTCTCAAGGGTATCCCAGCCCTGAGGATGACAAACTTTGTTTACCAGCCTCCAGTCAATGGGAAGTCCTTAAAATCCTTCACCAAGCTTTTCATGTAAGAAAGGATAAAACGTATCAATGAGCTGAGAGATTGTTTTCAGGCAGAAAACCTCTAAGTTTAAAAATGTAACCTCTCTAGCTCACTTCCAACAGGAATTGGCACAACTAGCAAAAGGCCAACCCCAGGAAATTGAACCACTTTTACTTAGCCAGAAAATTTGGTATTAGTGAAAACTCATCTCTCTCTCTCCTTCCCTAAGCCAAGTGGGAAGGGCCCTACACAGGTCTTCTTTCAACCCCCTCAGCAGTAAAAGTTACAGGTATCAGCTTCTGAATTTATCACACTCAAGTCAAAGCCTGAAAAGCTGAGGGAGCAACCTTTGACAGCCCAGAGGAACATCCTGAATATCAATGTGGAGAAATAGAAGATCTTAAGCTGAAAATCATAAAAGATAAGTAAATGAGTGAGGGCTACTCATCTTAGTGCCATTCATACCTCACCAGGTACTGTTGATCATTTCTACCTTTCCTCTCAAAATTCACTGTCCAGTATTAGAACTTATTTTTAACGCATATTTGCAGGGAGATTTTAATT